CACCACCTATTCATCGTTTGCTCCATACCTTACATGACTCACTTCTTCCCCAGATTCTAAATTCCTCAGGAACTTTGGGATAGTCGATTCTCATTTGCCCACATTTTCTGTTGTCCTTTAAAATTTCATTAAAGTACGTTACCTTAGAGTTATTGTCATGAAGTTCTGACTACCAGCGGTAGGAAGTGCCCGTAACAATTCATCTTTTCGTAGTTCACAAATTAAGACAAGTAAAAAACTTTAAGCTTTTATCCTTGCACAAGTTAACTTCTATAGCAACCACTCCAGACACTAATGCTATGTAACTGTATGGCACACTCCAGTTTTAAGATATTCCTACCTTCTCTTTGGAGATGGTGATCTGGACTTTGAGCGACTGTTAAAAAAACAAAACAAAACAATCAATGTGGTAATCTTGTATACACTCAGTAACCACTTTTGACCATTTAAAAACAGTAAGAACAGTCTGATGTTTTTAAATACATTAAAAGACACCACCCTTAATGCTGCTGATAGCAAGTATACCCGATTATTTTAAGCGAGAAGCTGCAGTTGAAAAGGAAAACTGCTGAAAGCCAGCGCCCTTGGGAAAAGAGCAACACACAGCTTCAAAGCAGCTATAAAACAATCACACTAATCCTGCAAAGCAGGAGCAGTGAATCAAGTAGAGGAGAGTCAGGAAGACTGAGAACTACAGACAGTTGAGAACAAAGGCAGGGAAAGATATGCCCCAAATCCTGTCAAAAATACTTTTTGTCACAATCATGGGTTAAACAAAAACCTCTATCCACAATCCTTCTGGAAGAATTGCCTACTGTCCCACAAAAATGGCTATAAAAAAAATACATAAAAATAATGTATGAAAAATATTTTAAAAATCAGCTATTAAAAAAACCAAATAAACAAACAAAACACCACCTCTTCCACGTGCAACTGGAATACTGATCCAAGCAGATATTTTGAATCATAAAAAAAAAAACCCAACCCAAAAAAAAACCCCACCAAAAAAAAGCCCACCACAAACCACAAAACTGAGTGCTACTTGTATTTATACGCTCACCTTTTAGCAGGTAAGCCAGATTTAGATCTACCATGGGACCCAGACCTACAACAGGAGAAAAATAAAGCTCAGCGAAGCAGCCAGTGGCATGCACATACAATGAAAGTTAGCTAAACCAGCAACAGCAAATTCATACTACATAGCATCACAACCAGAGAGGAAGGCTCTGGTGCCGCAGGCTTTTCTCGTGACATTTCAGGAGAATCCTTTAGCTCTTATTCCAGAGACCCCACTTATCAGAAGACAAGAGTACAAGCACAAGAAGCTCCCCAGCAAAGCTTCAGCTACCACTTTCACAAAACAGAAGACCTTGTACCAGGCTGCCAGACTCTCTCCCCACCTGCAAGTACCCCTTCCGTAAAAGGAAGAATAGTTTCAAGTGTCATCTTAGAAAGTCTTTTAATAGCATATTAAGAGCCTGGAATCAGCCACAGGTAAGCATGTGTGCTGAAGAGCTGATGCATTCTTCAGATCAAGTTCCCAGTTCCACTTTTATTCAAGTATAATATAGCTTTTTCACCAGTTATCCCAATGAAAACAGCGTTTCAGTTTTCTCTTCGATATCTGGCTACTAATGTGTAAACTATTCCCAGTTTGTATTGTTAATTAAAATCTACACAAACAGTAAACACATTTATCATATTACTTTACCAACTGAAGTATTTGCTGTTGCTTAGAAAATAGTTGTCCTCCTAGAGTGTCAGAGTTTAGGCATGTGGTATTACTAAACATCAGAAAGCCCAGTGTTCAAGACAATCAGTTGTTTAATAGACTTGGCCAAAAAAGTAAGTAACTTTTATCCTATTTCTGCTCAGAACTGTTTTTAAAGGGTAATCAAGATTCACCTTTACCTGGCCTATTAACTTACAGAAATACTATGTGGACACTGTTGGCGTAAGTTAAACAAAAAGTTACGTGCCACTGCCTTGAAGCCTTCCTGGTCACTAATGCTGAGCTATCCTCTGTCACAGTTCCTAACGCTGTAACCAGTAATTTTGTTACTGTGTCACAGTTACACAGGATGTAGTTGCTCACAACTACCCAGAAATTTTATTTTGTAGCATGAGCATGCCTTCCTTTGGTAAGAAATACAGTAAGGCAGCACACAAGATCATCGTCTTACTACAAGAACTGCTGACAAATCCTCCTTCCGAGAGGCACAGCAACAAAGCAGGACTGCAAATCAAAAGCTCTAGAAGCAGCACTGGTTACCTACTAGTGTTTTGCAGAGGACCAGCACCGGCTGGAATTTTCACAATGCTTCCTTAACTCCAGCCCTGAACTACCACTTCTCACCACTGCAATTGCAGACCGATGCAAAGTCAGCATTCCTCAGAAATTTCAGTATCAAGTCTTTCATGCAGGAACGTGACTGTCCCAGAACTAGAAGTCACCAAGCAACATCAGCAGTATCCAGACTCTGCCACAGCAGCAGCATGCAATTTGAGCCTGGCTAGTCATCTCCTGCATTACAGGCCTGTACAGTAGTAAGTCAGGACAGCTCTAGTAATAATCACCATCATCCCCTTAAAGGCTCAATGTGCAAGTCCTAAAGTAACAGGAAGATCCCTAAAAAACATTTACCTTCCCCCGTTCTAATGCAAAACAAAAAGACAACTTCTTCCAACTTATCAGCTCTCATGCCCATCACGTTTTTATCCTTCTCTTTCACCCTTCTTCCAACTATCACAAAGGATAGAGAAAAGTAATGCAGGAGCATTTACTCTATACCCATTTTCCTCAACTTCCATTTCAGCACGGAAAACATCCAGATCCACAAAACCAGGGCTGCATGTCAAGAGAAGTCCTTCAAAACACTACCTGTGGCATTAGGACTCATCGTCCTCTTCATTCAGCCCTCCAAACCTCTGAAGTCAAGCGTCCTACCTCATGTAATGTAGTTCTTAGCACTACAGCAATTTAATTTGATCTAACTCCCAGAACTGGAACTCACAAAGCTGAAAAACTGTAAGCAAGACTTCAGACAATAGTGGCAACCCTCTCATTGCTTTTTCCCCCCCAGCGTTTGGGATTTACAAAAAAGCATGCCAAGAAAAACCTAAGCAGCACTTCCTGCAGGACACAAGGTCAAGCATTCTCTACATGCGTAGGCATTAACTAGTTTTCAAAACTTCCCTCCACAGTCCTTAAATTGTATATATACTTTGTTTATGGCTACATATATGGTAGACTATATATAGTAACCACAGACTAAAACAAACTCATGTTTTTTGCAAGAAATCAACCACTACTTTATTCTGTGAAAAGGCATAAATTATTAAGTGCGAATATTGCTATGCTGCACAACCTTCTAACTCCTTCCAGCCAAACTCCCCTGGGGAAGGAAAAAAAAAACAAAAACAAAAAACAACCCCCAAACTATTACTGGTTTGAATTAAAACAAGTATCTTACCTGCTTCGAGGCCATACAACAGACCGGGACCTTGAGCGCGATCTGGACCTAGATCTAGAAAAAAAGCAGTGAAAGCTCAACTACTACTACTACTACATGATTCATACAGCTGAGAGAGCATTCTTTGACTTTTATGATGCTGACCTCAGAGAATTTTGTTGGAACTATTGGTTTTGCAGAAGTAACTTTTATTATTAGAAAGCTGTAGCACTTTTGGCCAGCACTAGCATCCACATAAGAAATCCCACTACCCTAGTCGACTGAGCATAATTACTCCCTGTATCCTTGAAGCTGAAGCAGGAAACCTTAACCATAGATCAAGGCTGTAACTTTGGTAGAGTATAAAAAAAGCTCAGAAACAGCAGTTCCTAAATTATATGCTTAAGTTTTTAACTTCAAAGAAAGCGTTCAGATTAGCTCTCAGGGATATAACACCATGAAGGTACCTTCAAACACACGGACTGCAAAATATAGTTAATGTTAACTCCAACAGTTACATTCCCTTCAACAATGTTGTGGGCTAAATAGAAAACACATACCTTGATCTCCTTAAAGAACCAGACCGAGATCTGCGTGGTGAAAATGATCTATACCTACGAGGAGAGATTGACCTGGACCTGCGGTAAGAAGCTGACCTTGATCTACAAAACAAAGGGAAAACACAACCAAAATCACTGCAAGGTACTTTTCACAAGGACTACAAAAAGGGGTGGAGCAGAGAGAGGAGTAAGAACAAGAATGAAAACACAACAGCCAGAACCCTACCTCCTACCGCGACTCCGACTGCGTGACCGAGAATACCTTCTTCCTCGGGACCTTGAACGGGATCTAGACCGGGACCTGGTTTTAGGTTAGAGAAAACAGGTATCAGGAAACAGCTGCAGCAATCGGTGCACGTGAGGCCCTGCTGAAGTCAAAACTGATTTCAGACAACTAAAAAGAAAAGAAAAGAAAACAAAACTAAAAGAACAAAAACACACCACTAGCATCTGTCAGTTGGAAAAATCTCTGGGCCTACTTGTCTTGAGCATTTTACTACCTAGAAAAATGTTAAAAGCTGAATTACATTGCAGAATTACATTAGAATAGAAAACACTGTAATGCGTATTTAAAATAAACCTTGCAAGTTTGCAGGTCGACCCTCTTTGGCCCAAGGTCTAGCAGATCTAGACGATCTAGAAGTATCTATAGCCGATCGCTGCATCTAGGTGTTCTCTTCAATCTAACGACGATCAAACTGACAGCCCAATGAGCCAGGGTGAGGCTTGATTGACGCAAGAAGATTTTTCTAGGTGGGAATGTGGTCAATCTGGTGTTCCTCTTTCTAAACCGGAGGGGGGCCCCAATTGAAAGCCAAATTTACTGTTACGGCGATCACCGTCTCAAATTTTCTGCCCTTAAAGAATAAGGTGAAGCTACGTGTAGATGGCTCGAGGGGATCTGGCCTCTTATGCTGATCACCTCAAGGTCTAGGAGGATCTTAAGTGTCGGATTTGCAAGGCGCCTCAGCATGAAATCTTAAGGCTCGTGACATTCTGAATCAAGGCGACTGACTCAAACGAAGAAACCTGAAAGGTTTTGACCAGGTTGATTATTAAGATATTAACATTTGATAGAAATAGCAACAAATTGTAATATACACCTATACATTTATTCTAGCATTAAGGTTTAAAGAAAACTGGCGTAACATTCTGTTCTTTGCTAACAAGAGCTACACAAAAGTGAACTGGTGAAGCAACCCAGCCACTCTGGCCCCACACATACCTGCTCCTCCTTCGGCGACTATAGCGGTGACAATCATAAGCATAGTGGCCTTTCTCACCACACTCATAGCATCTGTCATTAGGGTCAAAGGGGCGCCGTGCAGGAGGCCTGTCGTAACGGGAGCGACGAGGCATCCCTGT